CAATATTTTCAAATGCACTGAGTATCAGAAAAAATGTAATAGTAAAGAACTTCTGAAGTTCTTGTTACAATCATTCCAATACCAAGCTCTTTCTTTTCCCCTTCTGCTGTTAAGACAACCAAACATTTTCAAAACATTTTCAATATAGAGTGCCCCCTAGTGGAAATGTTTGCAAACCTCTGTGTAAAACCTTTTTACCCGATATACCCAGGCAAAATTAAGACAATGCACATTTTTTTTTGAAGTAAAATACAAGTTACTTAAACACGCATCAGGGAAGACTTGTTTGTTTGTTTTTAATAACAAATACAGCCTCACAATAGGACAATTATGAATACACCCTACTTCTCAAGTTCCCAAAACAAGGAACAAATATTTAAAGAACAATAAACATAGGAAAATATGGAAACAAAACAAAGTTTAAATTTGAGCTAAGAACAGGTTTAGTTTTTCTTTTCTATGAAAAGTGTACTATAATCTCTTCCTTTCTATAGCTTAGTTATTATTACACTCATGGAATACCCAATTCAGTCTTTTACAGATGAGAAAATGGAAGCCCAAAAAAGATGAAATGATTTGCTTATGGTTAATTTTTTTCAACTCTGTTTTGGTCAAGATAGACAATATAAAAAACAATTTTGAATTGAAGAAGATGCTCAGAAACTGTAAAAGTCGAAATTCTTTTTTTGGGGCCCACAGTAATTATTCCTCTTACCTTAAGGATTATTTTTTTAATCAAAAGTCCAACTCACCTATTAAGATTTGAGCTATATAAGCAGGTATAGCCAAGGAAAACATCTTAATCTAAAGTTTCCAAGCCACTGAAATTCCTTCTAAACCTAAATAGTAACAGTTTTGTTTGTAAGCATTGAACAAAAGGTTGTTACAACCATTTGTAGGAAATAAATAAAAACAGCCTTAGAGGTGTAGACATATCTTTTGAATATACCGTTATATGACTTATTAAAATTCTTAAATGTCTAGTAAATACCAGCAAATAACACTAAAAACAGATTAAGGAGAAAATTACTTTCAAGGTTTTGTCCTAGTTTTTAATGATGAGCACAACATATTGTAAAAATGTGTTTTTAGGTTTGTTTGGTGTTTTTTTATTTCATTTGCTAAGGTCAGAATATTTAGGAAGAGTTTCCTTCAAAAATAACTGTTTCAGACGTATTATTTAGCATAAATATACCATTTCTATAAACACTAGATCAAAAAAGATGATTTACAGAATTTTAAGTGGGCTTGGTTTTTTTATATTTGTTTTGGTTTATACCTATGATTTTATTAATGTCGGGAATTTGTGCTATAGAAACTCTCTTCACTTACACAAATCAGTAATGCAATCTTAGAGTTGTATAAGGATACTGAGAGGTTATGCGGTTTGCCCAGGGTCATATAGCAACTATTTGTCAGAAGAACTTGAATACAAGTCTTTCTGATGGAAAGCCTTCTTATCCCATGCCATGCTACCTTTCCAATTATTTTCAATGATTATTTAATCCAAATTATTTTCATGTCCTCTTTAAATTAACTTGAATATGGAACTATACCTATAGCCATACTTGTTTCACACAGTATTTTAGGGAAAACATTTAAGATTCTTATGCAAATACCAGGGTTCTACCCTACCCTTTCAGGTATAATGAATGTATTTTCTACCTACTCCCATAGTTGGCATCTTCTACATTTCTATTTTTCCACTAAAAATTAAGTTTTAGTATCCTCAAGTTGTACTCAACCTTGGACTCAGATGCAGTTAACAAAAGTAACCTCATACAACTATAGCACTAACTAAGCAATATTTACCCACACTGTGGAATCTACACACACCCTAACACAAAGCTTGATGTCACTGTAATCTAGCAATAGCTTGACCATACTGCCATACCATATATGCCTCTATTCATAACAAATATATTGCTATTTTTGATTCCACAGCTAAACAACATCTTTTAATTCAAAAATATAATAGCTGCATTTTGAGGTACAAAAAGCCATGTTACAGGAACAAAATACTGCCAAGAAAAGTGCCTAATGAATTCAACTAACCATCATCACACAGAAAAAACAAAATTCATTTTGTTCATTCAACAGATACTTGTTGAGAGCCTACTATGTGTAAGGCACTGTGGCATTACCTTTATCTTAAAGACCTAAGAATCGATATAAAGGACCCTAACAGGGGCCAGGCTGTTCTATATTCCATAAGATCTTACCTTATAGCCCCTAGTAAAATGTCGCACACCCCATGGGCACTCAGTTAAATATTAATATAGCTGAGTTGAATTATTCATTTGGTTTCCACTACAGCAGCTTCATCTTTATCATCCACTTCCAATTAGGAGACCTGTGTGTGGCCAGGGTGGTCTGTTTTAAAGATTAGAGTACATGAAAAGTTCTTTTTTCAAGCATTTCAATTGTACTAACCAAACTATCTTGCTTCTAAGTAGCAAGAAATCAAGTTTTTACAATAAAACTTTGAAAGAAAGCTGACAACTGTATGTACAGTTTTAAAGATGTATCCAAGAGGAACATGCAAGCACAGGATAGCGAATCAGGGCTTCAGATAAACTTATTTGAAAAACTCAGTTCTAAATATTACTATGCTTTATTCAAGTCAGAGTCAAATACCTCTAGAGATATCTAGCCTCTTAGCGAATATTTCTAATTCCTCATTTAAATGTTATTTTGAGATTTAGTACCCATAGTACAGAAATTCAAATCATTTTTACCTATACATTCACGTGCACAAATGGAACACATTACTGAAAATGTCCATGAAGGAGAGTTGAGTCTGTCTGCATACTGAATCCTATTTGCTCATTGATTCCCCTTATGAAATTAGAGATGTGTTCTTCTGGAGGAAAAAATTCACCTCAAAGACAAAATAAAATCTACACAAACTTCTATAGAATATATTTAAAGGAAACCAATCTGACAACAATACTATGTTACAAAACAAAAAATACTAAAACAGTAATCTGTGATTAATCTTATCAACTGATATCAAAAATGTTATAAGCACAAGACACGAGGAACAATACTTCAATCTGCAAAATCATCTTGTTGCTTCAGGCTCTTATCAACAGAAAAAGGAGATGAAGGAAATAAAAGTTTTGCCTGTAGGTATTCTCCAAATGTTTCTCCTTTCCACTCACAGCTTACTGAAGCACTAACCAAAGTACTAACCAAACTTCCAACCAAACTTCCAATTGTCCTTTAACTCTTCTTTCTCTCATCTTTCCAAATTCAATTTCTAAAATGAGAAAAAGATATTTACTGATCTGAAAATCCTTTTGACAAGTAGTGAAGTAAGCCTTCTGACCTCCCATAACTATGTCTTCAAAAAATTAGTATCCAAAACCAAACTAATAACTGGGCTCACTTCTTTTCTGTCTCACCTTGGCCAGGTCCAAAAAAATTGGTTACAAAGAAATACACAAAATCCATTTTTCAGAATTTCATGTTTATTGAATCTCTCTACAACTTTAAGAATTGTTCCAAAATTCCACAAGGAATATATTTTCAACCAAATATGTTGGAAACTGATGTACTGAGAAAGTTAATTTAAATCATTAACTTCATCAAGTATAAAGGTAGATACGCTCTACATAAGACATAAATTCCATTTTCCTAGAAAAAGGAACCCTAATGGAATCATAACATAACACTGCATATTCTCAAACATAGCTCAAATTCTCTGTTTAGCCTTTCTGATCTCTTTGGCCTTAACAGTTTCAACTAAAATTAACATTTGAATATATTTTTAATTCAAAGGGCTTTTTTAGCTCTTTGAATGCCAAAGACTCAAAGAATACCTTTTAAAAATGTGCAGACTTGACTATCTATCTAAAAACAGTATTTTCTTCAAAATGATTACAAATTACTGCAGAAATACACTTCTCTATATATTAGAACTATTATTACCCAAAAACATTCTTCTGTTAACTTAATAAATTAGGGAAAGTGTTTTAAGATTTTGCTCTCTCAAATAGCTATAAAATACACTAACTTCAGCAGTCCGAACTCGTCCTCGTAAGTTAATGATTGCTGGTGAAAGGTCTTTAAAAAGTTATTCCAGTTCGCCCCCAAAGTTACACTGATTTTCTCTTTTTTTCTTAAACTACCTCTAGTTCAGGCATGAGCTATGCATGCCACAAGCTGGGTAGTACAAGAAAGCAGAAAGAAGATTAGACAGGTTCAAGCCCTGGTCCCGCAACTTAGTAGATGTGTTGATCACTTTACCTCTCTGGTCTCAATTTCTCAGTCTACAACATGAGGATAATATCATCTTCACAATATCTTATCAAAACAGTATTTTATATGGTTGCTGTAGAAAGTGATATAAAAAGCATCAATAAAATTCTTTAAAATGTGCTTTGTAGTTCTGGAAAAAAGCACTCTATAAACATAATCTATTGCCTAAACAAATGCTCATGTTACTCTAGATAATATTCACAAGAAAGAAAAATGTGTCAGTTTAAACCCACAAAGGAAATGATCTGCCTTTGTTCTTAGATTTCTACTACAAAACTGGCTCTGCCAGCGAGGGATATCACTACCCAGCTATGTACAGGTAAAAAAATTAACCCTTCAGGAAATTAAAATACCTATAATATCACCTAGTCCTACTTCACTTATACAGAAGAAAATTAATGTCTATTTCCAGAGACAAAGGCAAAGATTTTAAAACCATGCATACTGGAGTGGCTAGACTATCAAAACTAGAGTTATATTTTTATGGCCACATGTTGGCAAGAACATTAGTCAAAAAATTTCATAAACCCAATTTTTAAATGGATTTTTCAGATAATAAGTACTTCAGATAAAACAAGAGGACTATAAGCAAAGTTAGCCCATTCAAATGAACAGTAGCCCAGTTAGGTTATTAATAGTTTTGGAGAGAAACAAAATTGAAATAAATATGGCATAACAAATGTTTAAGTGAAAATAGGACAGGGACCTCAAACCACCCAGTAAATATAAAAGCATTATTTTGGTTTGAATCTTCCTCTCCAAACAGGTTTTAAAGATTTACTTAACGTGAACTAAAAATTATGTGATCAAGATCAAATAGGCAATAAGTAGGATGATAGTCTATGAAAATAATACTTAATACATTTAAAAGAAACCTAATATTGAAATCAGTACTAACAAATGTCTTTAAAAAAGAACTCAACTTATAAAATACTGAGAGAGAAAATGTGTAATTTCTTCCAAATAAAAATGCTTCTCATCTTTAAAATGTTTCTACCTTTGTCTAAATTTGCAGTGTAGAAAACAAATATTCACAGCTAACTATAATACTATGTACAAAAATAACAATATGAAAACAAAATCAATCAAAATCAACTGCCCACAAGACTTAAAATGACACATAAGTATTCTGTTTCTAATTTCTAAAAATGTAGAGATATAATCATTACTGCCAAACCTGAAATTTCACCTACAACTGTCAAAGCTTTATAATATTCTATTTACCAGTCAACTCAGTTGCAGTAATTCTTGACTAATTTATCAAGGAAGAAGTTTTCTCAGAAATGAACAATTTGCAAATTTGATGGTTTCTGGACCTGTTTGTGTATATACGTACACACACACACACGAATGAAACACCCCCTAAAAGGAATACATACGTTTTTTCCTATGTTCTACTAAACCTACAGCCTGCTTTGCTGAGCATTTGCAAAACCAGTTGTCCCCAAGTAAAACTGTGACTTCATTGGTATTAACAAGCTGTCCTGGCATGAAGGCAAGAGGACCAAAAGGTACCTGTAGTCCAAAAGAAAAAAAAAAAAGTTAAAAACACGTCATAAAGTGGATATATTATCCATACCAAATAACTTGGAAAGTTAAAAGTCATTTTAAGTGAGTATAGTAAATGAAAAAAAAACCAAACCTCAACTGCACATTTTTTTTTTTAAATTTAAGCTTAGTATTTTAATCTGACAACTTATTTTTGTTTTCCGAATGAATGTACAAGTGAAAAAAAAATCCAGACCAAGTTTTCTATCTTTGTGTTATGACGTTATGATTTTGGCCAACAGATCTTTGTTGAATAATTTCAAACTCTCATTTTTCATAGGCTTAAAAACACAGGATCATAAATGTATACATTTTTTTGTTCTCACAATGATCCTGAAGAAAACAGACTAGTAATGAAATATTAATTTACGAAGCATCACTCTAGAAATCAGCTTTATAAAGAACAAAGTGAAAATTAATTCTAACAAAACAAATGCTTTTATGAAGCACGTATTTAAAAATAAATAGCTTTAACAAGTTTACACAGGGGAGAATCATATTTACAAAATCTTAATTTTGATATCTGTATACCAAAGTGTATAACTGAGGAATATACTTAGAATAAAAAATTCAAGTTCAAGGAATAAGAATAAATCACTATGTCAATATGAAGATCATTAAGAAAAAAATTAGCAGTACCTTTTTATATTTTATATAAAAATCAATGTCCCAGAGCTTAATTCCGTGAATTACAAAATATTATGGCCTGTTCTTGCTCTGAGTAACAGGAAATGACTAACTGCCAAATTTCTGTCATAACTGTAGTTTTCTACACAATAGAACTGCATACCAAAAATGTCGAATTTTGTTAGCATTTATGCCATCAGTTCTCATGTGTCATTAATATGAAAATTTATGATAGATCTGAAAGACAAGAACTGAAGCAAATGCTTAGCGATAGTTTTAATTAATGTATTATTAAGTACTCTTTCGTAAGCCTGAATAATAATATACCTTGATGCTACTGCAATATCCTCAGGTAATAAAATGATTAATCACATTACTTTAAATGAAACATACCATACGTACCATAATATCATAAGAGAGTTTATCAGGCAATGTGCTGAGTCTTTCTTGAAGAGCCTCATAGTCATGCTCCACTTTCATCCTGTTGACAAACATAGGTTAATTCATTCCTTGCACCAAATACTAAAAAAAGTACACAATGAACAATTCTACCTAGGTGGGAGACAGCCTACCATTTGGCTAAATAAACTAATCTTAAAAGCTACTTTTAGCAACTAAATATACTGAATCATTTTTGTTTTAAAATCATCTTATTAACAAATCTATTTAGCAATGGCTCTGACCTACATGTTACAACAAAAACTGAGATTCTCGAAAACCAACTCTAAACAAAACATTCACATCACAAAACTGTATACATCTCTTTCTAAAACCAGTTGTTTCCATGTTTAAATAATGCTTAGAAAAGAGAGGACGTTAAAAAAAAAAAGGCTAGTATTTGGGTAATGGCAACCAAAGAAACAATGAAAGCAGAGCTAGTGTGAGAAGATACTAACAGGGACTAAGAAAGGAAAGGAAAGATGGCTAAAATGAGAATATTCAGGCCTTTTCTAAGAGATTACAGAAGGACAAAAAATTATGCATAGGTTTAACAATATTATGACAGTGAAGAACACTGGTATAGTTATAAGAACTGACCAAAGATCTGTGAATGTTACTCAAGTGTTGTGAACATTTATCAGAAAAACTTGGGAAATTATAATTAAATATTTCAATTCAATAAACTCAATTATTCACATCATTTTGTGGGTCAGGAAAAATGGAAAAGGGGGGAATAAAAGTAGGGCTTTGGAATTTTTAAAATAATTACATTTAAAAGGAACAATTATGTACAAAAATATTTTTAAGTTATTTTTAAAATGGTAAAGAACTACAAACTAAGAGGGTGCCTACCAATTCAGAAATGACTGAATAAATTATGGTACATGAATGTAATGAAATATTGTGCCACAAGAAATGATAAAAGGGTCCATTTCAGAGAAATCTGGGAAGGATTGTATGAACTGATGTAGAGTAAAGTCAGCAGAACCAGAAAAAAACAATTAATACAATAACAAAAATACTCTAAAGACAAATAACCTTAAAAGATTTAAGAACTCTGACCAATGCAATGACCAACCACAATTCCAGAGGCCTGATGATGATACATGCCCCTCACCTACTGACAGTGGTGATGGATTCCAGATGCAGAATAAGACATATATTTTTGGACACGGCCAATGTGAGAATTTGTTTTTCTTGACAAGAGCTGTGTTTTCCTTTTTCTTTTCAAGGGGGGTAAAGGATGACGGGGATAGAAAATTTAAAATGAAATATTTTTTAAAAATTGGGTATGGGGCAACCAACATTCTAGGAATTTAGGTGAAATGGCATCTAAGTTTGTTATTTTACCTATTTCCCCCCCACAGTTAACTCTGCTCAGCTCCTCCCTGAAAATCGTTTCAAAATAGCTTAAGCAAAAATGCTCTTTTTCACCATCTCTGGGTTAGTGGCAATGTTTCAAGAGACTGCTCTGCTAAGATGTAACCAATGAGCACAGAAAGAGTAAATGAGAGCTGAACCGTCCAAAAGAGATAGTTAAGGAGAGGTGATACTGTCAATAGAGAGAAATATGAACAAAGCAATTAGGTAAAAGATGTCAAACATGTGAGGGGGGCAGGAAAAGCACAATTCACCAATGAAAGATAACTACTCTGATAATGGAGTTGAATAAAAATCATGAGCTTACTTACCACCCTCTGCTTCTGAATCAACAGTAGCATATTTGATAAGAACAGTAAGTTGTCTATCTGAGAGCTATTTCAAGGACTATCTTATTCACTTTCAAAACATCAGAGCCAATGTGGCACACTGGAGTTGGAACCAACAAAACCGAGATTCAAATCCCATTCCAGACACTTATCATGTGACTGGGCACTGATAAATCACTGCCCTTCTCTGTGCCTGAGGTTTGACTGTATGGCCTCGAAGGCCCTTCCAGCTCTAGATCTACGATCCATTTTTTGATCCATTGGTCTGATACCAATAACCTCAAATTGGATAAGGAAAGTACAAAGCACGGGGGCAAATTGATATTGAAAGATCAACAAAGGCCATGCAACAAGTGAGTATAAAAACAAAACCAGAACCCATTTTATGTCTAATCTGCTGTTCTTTCCTTATATTTGCACTTTTTTTTCCTTTACAATTTGTTCAGATATATCTCAAGAATCTTCCTTACATTTATTTCAAAAACAGGACATAAGGTATCTCTGGGGAATATTTTATATAGAAAATACTGATTTTTCTACACAGTTCCTAAGAATGTCACTTTTTAAATTCTCAGGGGGAAAAAAAACATTACCTATGGAATTATCTCTTCCTTACTGAGAAATAAAATTCTTATTACTCATATAAAACTTACTATAAATCCACTATGTAATTTTAAAAAATTTTCTCCTTTTGGTTATTTATGTACACATTTTGTACAAGTCAAACACCTTGATGATTGTTTAAATGTTGCTGTGTTTAGACAGCAGCATTAGTTAGTATACTATATGTTTCTATTTTAAAGCCTACATGCTGAGAAAAAAGCTCCCCCCCAAGAAAAAAAAAGTTCTCCATATATTCAAAATTACCAAGTGACAGTGAAATTGATTCAAGTAAAGAAAGAAAAAAAAAACCTTCAAATCAATCTAAGTTCTCTAAGTCATCCCATTCTAAAACTATCAATCACTAACAAGCACTTATTAAATGGCTACTATGTGCCAGGCACTGTACTACTACTAATAATTATGTTTTAAGGAATATTATATGGACATACAGGAAAGTAGTTAAAATGTGGGGGTTCAGTTATTTCTGAGATTTTATTTCTCTTATGTTCTCCACAATGTTATTTTTTTGAACCAAACTAAAACTAAATAAAAGCCACTTCAAAGAAAAAAGGATATGAGGGGGAATGTTTTAAAATGCTGTCACTTAAGAACGTAGGCCAGTGAGACTCAAGCGGTGTTCTTGTTTGGAAAAATATCATAACTTGAAGAACTCTTCTAAAGGTTGAGTTAGTCAGTAAGCCTGAATGTCCAATGTGTAACACTTAGCAAGAGAGTGATCTCTAAATAATTACCCTAAACAATTTAGTTAGGAGACCACATTTCCTGCAATGCAAGATCAAAAAGTTACACTGACTATACATACACTAACATACAGAATGGTTCTTTCTGTTTTCATAAAAGGTTTCATATTGTTCTCATTCTATTTCTTTCTTAATACTTTGAGAAAAAGAAACTTTTAGTTTTTTAATTTAATTTTGTGATTAAAAAATTATTTTGATCAAACACCAAAGAGACAAGATGGGGCTATAGGCACAGTAACTGCTAAAATTAGTATCCAAAGAAAGGAAAAAAAAAAACTTTTTTCACTCCCTTTCATTTGCCTTTTAAAAATAAAAACTTATGATAATGGGGATAGAGAAAAGACAAATTTTAGGTATGTGTGAAATACTTGACTCAGGATGTTTGATAATATAGTGTCATTAATTGTATGCTTTTTCAACTGCATCCAGATTAGTAAAAGTGCAAAAAAGTTTTGGTTAACTGAAACAATATAACAATATAAAGCTTCAAATCTCTCATTAAGAATTTCAGCCAAGGTACAAATCTACAGAATACATTCTTCCCAGAAATAAAGGCATGAAACATTAATAATAAGGAAGAAGTCTAGGAGACTTGTACCTCTTTCTTTTGTGAGTCCTGCCAATTACACAAGTTTATGAGTCCTCAATTTCTTCTCACCAAATAAAAAAAGGGGGGGAGGGGAATGAGTGCATTGGGAGGGAGGATAAGAGTGAGACTTAACCCTGCAGATCAGCACTAATCCCCTAAGAAATGTTTCACTTTTAAGGTATTATAAAAACCATAAAAAACAAGAGTGTCGCAATGTCTCTGATCATCTTCATGAATGCAATTGACAAGAAGAATAACTGTTAGGAGAAAGAACCAAGTTCTACATCACTTGCTTAGGATAAAAGTGACACAAGGACTTCTGGGACCAGCTTAAAACACCAAAAAAGAAAGAGATTTAATCACTGGCCAAAAGCAATGAGATTTACTGAAATTGATTTTTTTAGAGTTGGAAGGTCTTATAAGCAAGAAAAGTTGACTGATGCCAATTCCAACAAATCTTCTGCCAACTTTTTCATTAACTAAGTTATTTTCTAATACCTTTGCCTTAAAATTTTATTTTCCCATATATAAATAAAATTCAATGTTTCAAAATTTTATTTAATTATTAATCTTTTCAGTTTATTTTTTTGTGAACATTCCTTTAAAGCGAGGTGTTTAAAGAAACCATGAACTTAACTGATAACTTTTCAAGACACTACGTTTCATTTAAGGAAGACTTTTATAACTATGTCCAATAACTATTTAAGAAGGGGCAATTTCATGAGGCATTTCCATATTTGGACAGGGAAAAAAATAACTCTTGCAAAAAAAAAAAAGAAAGTCAGAACTCACAACTTTCCATTTAACTGCACACCCACTACATTACCAACACAGAATATACATATTTTGCAAAGGTGCCTCCCAGACGTAACAGTATTTGAAGATGAAAGGCAAAAGACTTTTGAGTCACTGCAAGTTTGTGTATATAGTCAAGATGTCACCTTATTGAAAAAGTATATGAACAGTGTGCAGGGATGGATGCAGGAGTAGGCGACATGAGGAAAAAATTTAAGCTGAATTTTCCAGAAGGAACATGTATTATGATTTATTAAGCAATGAGAATGGTTTGAGTAATTAAACCTTGCATGTCTCTGTTCCATTGTTTGACACTGTTAATTATGAAAAGTAATCTTTTTTTTAATATCAGTCACCCTATTTTTTAAGAAATCAATGCCTTAATAAAGGACAATTTAGATGTATGAAACCTACTGTCAAAGCCTAACAAAATAGAAGACCCAACTTCCTTCTTAACAATACTAGTATTTCTGAGGAACAGGTTTGGTCAAAAGATGCCCATGAATAGACATTTACTTTTTCATTTCTCATATAAGTACCTTCAAAAATTTGATGCCTATTACTAGAAATGTATAAACTAGTCCAAGTGCATCAACCAGTAACTTTCATAAGAACGTAGTCAATGAAACAAAATTTCTAGAATTAAATTACTATTTGCATGAAATGAGATACTATTTTGTCTTAGGAGATTTAATCAATTTTATAAAAACTTATTTCTGCAAGGTAAACATATAAGTCTTAGTCTTTTTCAAAAAAATAAAACTTTATATTTAACCTACTATTATTCTCTGCTCTATCAAACAGGAATAAAAATAATGGCTTATATCCTTTAAGATGTTTGCATAAACTCAGGTTTACAAAGCGTTTTCCTCTCAACTCCCTAAGATATATAGCCTAAGGATTATTGTCTTCATTTTACAGATCAGTAAAATGAGGCTCTGAAAGATAAAGTGACTTACATACTGTCACATGGCCATGTCTAAGATAGATTTCAAACCCTGGTCTCCTGACTCCAAAAGCACTCCTACTGTGCTATTAACAGTTAGACATCTTCATCCAATGAAAATAACACTGGGTTACAGTCAGAGGGACTGAGTTCCAGTTTCATCTCTACCACAAACTATATAATTAGCTAATTGTGAGATCTTGGCAACCTTTCTGTGCCTCAACTCTCTCATCTTTAAAATTAAGAAAACAGTACCTGCACTGTCTACCTGGTGATGAGAGTGAAAGAAAACAATAGATGAGAACTAAAAAACTAGCAAAAAATGAAAAGTTAAATGTTACAGGAACACAAGTCTATTAGGCAAATTTAGCAAACACTCTCACACCCTCCAAAACAGACCAGGAACTTGAGAGGATGAAGGTGTTGTGAGTACAACATTCATCTTTCTTCTACTGGGAAAAGGTACACATTTTCATGGGGGCAGCTAGGTGGCACCATAATGCACAGAGCGCTGGGACCTTGAGTCAAAAGTCCTAACTTCAAATCTGACCTCAGCCACTTACTACCTGTATGACTCTGGGTAAGTCACAATCTGTTTGTCTAAGTTTCTTCACCTTTAAAATGGAAATAATAATAGCACCTACCTCTAAGGGTTGCTGTGAGGATCAAATAAGACAATAATTATAAAGCACTTTAATACAATACTTGGCACATAGCAGGCACTAAATAAATGTCACTATTATTGTACAAAACCTAACAAGCAGGTCACCTCTAGAAAATTGAGTATTCAACATTACTATCTTCTATACTTGTAAAATAAAAGTAACAAAACTATGTTTCTTATGGAAAAAAATGAATAAAATTTTATTATAAAATAAAGCTATACGTTCCCTCAATTATCCATGATAACAGAAAGAAGCAGTGACACCGGCTTGTAAATAAGATTTTCTCAGTAGATTCATCTTCCTAATTTGATTTTGCTTATAACCTAGACTTAGCTTGCATTTACTGAACACAGACTGGTTAGATGGTAAAGGTAAGTAGTTTAGGAGTGTGGCACGTAAGAAAACTTCACTGAGTATGGTTCACAAAGTAATTATAGTTATGTAATTCAGAATTGCCTATCAAACCCTAATTTTCCCTACCAAGTGACATATAATATTTGAAAATGCCTTTGATGGGTAAAAATAATGATTTAAACAGTGACAAATATCTATTTCTTGAAAGAAGATTTAATAATTGGAAATGGTCTAATGTCACCTAAACCAAGTCTGGTGAATAAGGTGAATGATCAGACTAATACATTTTTGACTGAAAGAGGATTTCACAAAAAATATGGGTACTATAGTGCTAGAGTACTATCATGAAAAAAAAACAAACTAATCACTGGACCAAATATCTCTCATTTTGTATCAAACTGAATCTCTCAAATACTTAAGAACTTCTACATAATGAGCCTGATTAACAGTCTCTCTTTGGTAGAATGAATCCTACATGAACAACAGCACTGATAACAAAGAAAAAAAAAATTAACAGTTTCCTCATTTTTGTTTTTAACATGTAAACTTTCTTGGTACTCAGAAATTCTGGAATTTTCCACTCAAAGCTTTGAAGTGTTTACACATGATACTAAACACAGAATGTTTCATAACCATGAAGTTCAGTTTTTCTAAAAAACGTCTTGTCCAATGTCTCTTTAAAGATCAAAATACACTGAACTTGATCTTAAATAAAATAATGTATATACAATGCTTTATGAACCTTAAAGCATTATCGTACTATTAGCTATATCTTCATTTTTAATCTCTTATTTTACATTGATACAACTTCGCAGCAACTTTATGTATTTCATCCAAATTTACTTCTTCAGTCATCATTCTTGAATTACAAATTTGAAAGCCGTATTGTGATTGGTCTTACCAACCAGTGCTTCATGATGCTCACCTTTCCCCATTTCTTTCAACTGTTTGGTATTAGCTCATCTCCAAAAGACTCTTAACATACCACTGTGGCAGATTTGCTTTAACCACACCAGATTTGATACTTTGCCATACCAAAAAAGAAGATTCATTTTTATGCTAATACAAAAGATTCACCTATACAGCAAAGCTAATGCTAAACTAGCTGACCTTGAAAGAAGTTCTATTACTCTAAAAATAGATTTCAAACAAATGTGAGGGATTTAAAAAAAAAATTCTTTCCTAAGGCAGGAACTTGTATTTTAAGTACTAATCTATGGAATTATATATGGAAGAGCCATGAGGGTTTACAAAATAAAGGTACATTATAGAAACATTGAAAGATTTAACTGTAGCCACTAGTGGGTACAATGATTATGTTGCTCTTATTGAAAATTAATGCAGCCTTTGAATATATATGTAGAACTTATTAGTTTTAGATTATTTTCTGCAAGCAAATAGTCAAAATTTAATATGATGATGTATATAGATTGCACTGATTTTTTTTACCCTTATCCACTGCTTGCAGACTATGTGCGTTTAAACAAAAAAAAATGGATATACACTAACTATAAATTATTTCCTTGGAGATCTTTCAGGCATGAAGAAAAAGCCTCTTAAAATAAATTTAAAATATTATATGCTTGATGGTGTATAACCAAAGGTTTAATCTCACCACTAATGGGGGCAGTTCCTATGATTCTGCAATAACCCTGCAGACAATAATCAGGACAGCTCTCGTTGTTCTCTCAGTAAAATCTTGGTAAACACGGCATGGTTATATTGTAATTTGATATCTATAAGATCAACTGCTATACCTCATGGTAACTCACAAGATTTCATTCTCCATTAAATAACATATTTTCCTCAAATGTCATATGTTAAGTGTTTTTTACCAAGCATGTATCCTATTAACCATAGATTGGCACATAAAAATAGCAAGAAACCCATAATATCACCTCTCTAATAATCCCCCTCCACCAAATCTGTTGTCCTGAGAGGATGCTGAGACAGGGTAGAAATATGTAAAATTTCCTGAACTTTGAAAAAAATGTATCCTACCACATTTGCTCATTCAAAAAACAAAAGAGAATTGTAATATTCTTCTCCACCTCATTAAGAATTTCTCTCAAAACAGACCATTTCTAAGATTAGTCAGATTCCCAAAAAATGGTTCAGTATTCGTTCTATAATATTATTTACATTTTTTTACTCTTAAAAAGAGGGCAATTTTAAGAAAAAAAAAATGTTTCACTGGACTTCAAAACATCTGAGCAGACATTATAAGCAAATAAACATCTGAAAAGAATAAACCACAATAAAACAGCAACATAAAAATTATCATTCAATAACTATAATAAGAAAATTCAACTAATAGTATAACAAACAATTATTTTTTACTTTTATAAAACACAAGTAGGTAACTTCATCAGTATTTTACATATGTAATCAAACAGTTTTCACTTACCAATGCTGGATCTTTTCTTGGCAGCCAGTGACCACCTGTCATTGAAACAGATAACTGCTCATGAAAAAACAAGGCTCAGCACACAGCTGCAATGTCACTGTATCAGAAAACTACAACAGCAGCTTCACAGATTTCACAGCATCTCTGTGGACATTTTTATTTGTCAATGCACTGGGAAGTGAATGTTAGTCTTTAAGCAGTGTACTTTATCACAACCCTCGAATGCAGGCTGATAACTGCAGGACAAATTACAGCTTTCCATTTCATATTGGGATACAATACCTGCTCCATAATCATTAGGTGACATATGATATAACTAGGATTTTGCACAATCTATACACCCATTTTTGATGTTACATATTTTGCAGAATACAAAAGTGTTATAAATAACAAGATACCAATGGAACATCTATACTTTCTCAGTAAGAAATAAATAAGACAGTAGAGAAACTGTTTCACTTTATCAGTACATCTCCAAGTATTTTGACCTGTAATTTTTATTCTGAAGCAAAATGAATTCATCAATGTTATTCTATTACATTTTCAAGAATATATATTTAGGATAAAGACACTTTGAACAGCCCATTTTTTCCCATTCTTAAACCTAGATCCCTAAAGAGACTAAACACAAATCTTAGAATATGTTTCTAAATGTAACACGCAGCTATTTAAAACTGACTATTTCTATGTTATACTTCCCTGGCTATAAAAAACAAGCACAAAAGCTACTTGTTTTCCTGATTTGATTGAATTAAAATCATCTGTTTAAAAAAAAAAAACATGCTTGATCACACTAAAGCACTCCCAAAATTGTGGAAAAGGTATGCCCAAACATGACTCAGCTAACACTAACCAAAAGCACCAGGAAAATATGATAACACTACTGAAAATTTAAGACCCTTTTTTCTTATACTTCTACCTATAATCTAACAATTCCAAGAACTTCAACAGTATGATCCTTATTTAACAAATAAAGAAACTAAAATAATAAAAACAATGCTAAAATGTCATCTAATTTGATACACCACCTGGTGTTTACCAATATGCGTTCAATATATTTTACTCCAAACTATAAGAATTTTTTAAGCTTCCTTACTAAATTCCCACATTTTGACAATTCTTAACACAAATGTCCTCCTTCACTATCTTTTAAATACTGAGGCAGCAATACTATTAAAAAATGCTATAATCATAGACCTAACCATAGTACTAATTCAGAATAAAAAATCAGCTTTAAAATGAAGCTTTCCCAGTAAGTATCAATCATGTAGCAACACTTAATAACAGTGATAATATATAATAGAGTACTGGCTTTACATCTGGAAGAGCTAGGCTAAAACCACATCAATCCATTTCACTGTTTCAGATTCGGTGGTGATTATAAAACAGACAAACAGAATTAAGTGTAAATTGAAAAAAAGAAATCTTTATGAAATCCTTCTTAAAGTTCCTATTTAATTGGCCCATTAAAAGATGAGACCAAAAACAAGACAGGATGCTTTCCATTCCCAATGCATGTCTTTCCATGCATGAAGTGAGCTAAAAGCACAAAAAGAAAAGCCCTGCAAACCATAAGAGCAGCATGTTCATTAACCTCTACATGATAATTCTTTCGTAGCTGCATATTAACTAGTTACATATTCATAATCATTTACATTATTTAAAGGACCTTCTATGAAATTTTCTAGGCTATATCCATTAGCAACAATGTTAAAGGTTATAGAAGATAGTCTACTTAAGGTTTCCAGGAAGACTTTTTAATTAGTAAATATGTAAATTGGATACATATGCTTTTAACGTTCAAAAAACAAGTCATTGGTTAGGACAGCATATGCTATTTTCATCACCCCCTACACTGTCCCCTTTTCCTTTCCCCAAAAAGAGGACATCAATCAATTTTAATTTCATTTTCCTTCCTGAAATAATAAGTGAATAGATACTAATGGGTAGTACAAAGAGTAACTTATTTAGTGTTTCTCAGAAGAACAATTTACCACCAAAATATTCCCTTAGATACACTTAGGACCAAAGTATCTACTAATGAGATAAAGTATTTACAGAATCAGATGATAAAGCATTAACTTAAAGTAGCCTGGAGCAGGCTAAATTCTGAGAACTGAGGAAGGTAACACTAACACTGACCAAGTAAATTTCCCAAAAGGGAATGAAAAAGATAAGGAAAAAAAGTTTTCTAATAAATATTTTGAATAATCTTTTTTTTTATGTTTGAGGGTTTTCTGTTGTTTTTGGCAACATATTTTTGGGGCAAAGGATTTTGTTTGGGGTCAGGATTTTTAAAAATTACTCTTCTACAACGCTGCTGCCTAAGAAAAAATTTTAAAGGAGGAAAATATATGACACCTGAGTATACCTGATTTGAACAGTAACAACCACTTAATTTCTTGATGAAATTTAAATAATTTCATGAAACCTCAACTCATTTCTTCTTAAGGGGAATACAGACTTATTCATTTACATAGAAAAATAAACACAAGTGACTTAATTGTAGAAAAGCAATTATTGCAATTTTCAATTTGCACAAATAACTATATATCATTTGGCAATAAAATAATGACACTGATTTTGTGTCAAACACAGAAATTTATCTTATTACTTGGTAGTCAACATATATATTTTATATTTATACATAAATGATTATTACATTAAGTGTCACTAGGAACAATTTGATTTTTTAAAGTTAAACCCTACCAAATGTGCAAATCTACTCTATTTTCCTTGGTGTGAAGCTTTTTATCATTTTACAATAAGAAGTTACTAGTAACTGCTGCCTAAGAAAATTGTTCAACCATAAAAAACTGACTGAACAAATTATCTTCTATGTGGTTACACATTCAACGAAGGATTTCATAGTGTAGTAGAACCACTGCAACATGAAGTCAGAATATAAAGGTTTCAGTATCAACAACTTCACCGCTTATAAGCTATATAGCCAAGTCCCTTTAAAAAAGTCATTTCCCCTCTTCTAAATCTGTTTCCTCAGCTATACAATGGGAAAAGCAAACAATTGTGCTTCCATAAAGGGTTAATGTAAGGAAAACACTAAAATATTTAAGAATCTTTTATATGACTTCAGTGGCAGATCTCCAAAGCAGATCTCAATCCATCCATATCTTTTAGATGATAAAATCTAGAAATGGAATAGGCCTCAGGAATCATTCAGTTCACTCTCCTTTTTCAGATAAGGAACCTTAGGTCCAAAGAGGAAAAGTCCTTACAAGGTCACATGGACAGTGAGTGGCAGAGCTAAGATTTAAAACGAGGTCGTCCGGCTCCAAAATTCAGTCTTCATGATCACTGTGTCACTCCCCCCTACCACACACAAAAATAAACTTGCAGTCACAGTCTTCTGATGATGACCTTTTCCAAACTTGGCCAGGTTGGTTCTCAGAAGACCAACTCAACCTTTCCAATTTGGTAGTTCCTGCCAGAGCTTGTACTTCCTCGCTTTGTCTACAGTGTGAGAATCCAGGATAAGATGCCCTCTACCCTTGCTGGGGGGGAGGGGGGGAATCACATCTATGATTTCACTGGTATGACAAATGCCCTTTTATCAACACAAATCAGTATCTGTTATGCAAAGTCTTAGAGACATCTACCAACATTAAAATACATACATATCACTAAGCTCTCTTTACTAAGACTCAATCTCATAGCTAAATTCATAAAAGATAGTTACTTTCTTTACAAACTCACAGAAGAGTAAAACTGTCACACACACACACATAAGCACACACACACGTGTGTATATGTTCAAGGACCACAAGGGGGCATCAACCTATGAATTTTCCACGGTAAATACAATACTACATTGGTACCACATCAGGCAAAAAATAAATAAATAAATGAATGAATAAAAATCAGGGCCCTCTACTTAATAAAGTTCCAAATGATACGTCTTTAAATGATGTGCATCTCCTCTAAAGCCATTTTTAAAAATTTTCAATTATTCCTTAAGGGTCTGGGTTAATAAAATGCTAGTTTTTGAACTATTTTGATCAAAGTTTTGTTATTAAATGGTTTGACTCTTTGTAAAATGAATTCTTAGTACTGACCTTGTAATCTTTGTTTTTAAAATTGCTACTTAAAAGGATATCTTACCAATTAACTGACACATTTTATTACCAAAACTTCAACTACATTTTGGCATAAATGAAAAATATTTTAATTGATATGTTTGCAAAAAATAGCGCTTTGACAAGAGAGCTAAAAGTACAGGTAGAATGTTCACTATAATAAGCTTGTAGGCATTTTTTTTTTAAAACCATGACACAGGTTTTAAAAAAATTATCAATTTAAAGTAAATCACTTTCTAAATACGTTGCCAAGGAGACATTTGCTCCAGTACTGAGAACATTCTGATGATGTGGAAACCCTCTATATAACATCATTTTTTCTCCAAAATTTACTTAGAACAAATCAAATTCAAAATTTCAACATTTATCTAATGTATGTCTTTTATTCCATGGGTTTTCCATCTCTTTGGTGAACAGCAGATTCTCTAAGCATTCCAGTATGCCTAGTTTCCTTTTACACAAATAAATTTGACTTCATTTCTCCTCTTTCTTTACATAGTACCTTACTCCCTGTGTTTTCTGCACAGAATTCATCTGTACATCTTTCTTCCTTTCAGTATCTTCTCCTACATAGTTCCAAGCATTTCAGTAAATGTACAGTTCCTTTTCTATTACCACCCATCTTGCCGTGTTAATTCATATCCATTCCTTTATTTCTTACTACACCATACTTGGATTTCTGTGGATGTATACATCTTGCTATATTCCTCCAAGAGTAAAGATAAACAGATGTTAATAGGAAAGGTTTCTAATCCTCTTTAGATAAATAATTTAATTATCTACAAATCAAACTGACTATAACGATGTTAAGTCATACTTACTCTTAAATCAAAAACATGGAATAAAACTTGACACTTTTAACTGTTGACACTATTAAGAGTAGTAACCCAACCTAGGAAAGGTAATGTGTCTTGTCAAGAAATTGCTAGACTGATGGCAGA